CCGCATGGGCCTATTCAATCACATGCGCATCCACGAGAGCGGAATTGATCACAATTCCGACACACCCACCACACCCACCATACCCAGCACCACCCCTGCTCCATCGCCATACGCGCCCATCACCACTGCCTCCTCTACAGCTGACACCGACACCACCGACCTCTCATGCCCACACTGCCCACGCACGTTCACCTCACGCATCGGCCTGGTCGGTCACTTGCGAATCCATCGTACAGAGACTGGTGAACCAGTGCCTGGAGCACCCTCCTATACCCACCAAGCTCGTCTCAACTGCCCACACTGCCCTCGCACTTTCAGGCATCGCATGGGCCTATTCGGACACATTCGCATCCACGATGACCTGCGGTAGACAACCGCCGGTTACACCACACATCCACACACTCCCTACCTTCCTCCACCATCACCACTACACATCAACACGCACCCAACTGCCACCTCCCACGCAAGTGGGAAATGTGCATCTCGACTCGGTCCCCATGCGGCTTCGGCTGCACGGGTGACTTGAGTCCGAGGCTATCCCGACACGTCAAGCGTCGTGGATAGGATGGTTGCTGATTGACGCCCGCTATCGGCTCACACAGTTCGTCGCGTTGTGTGTGTGTGTTGTGTGGAGTGGCGGACTGGTGGGCTGGGGACGGGCTGAAGCTGCACCTTCCACGGCCCTCTCACGCAAGTGAGAGACACGCCGTTCAATCCCCGTTGTGCGAAATCCTGGTGTTGTGTGTATGGGGGGCCAGGTCATGCCGTGGCGCGCGCAGTCATGGTCAGTCGACCATGAACAGCCACCGCGCCCACTCCCCACTCCAGTCTGCTGACCGGCTCGGACAGCGGCTGGGGTGTGGGAGTGGGAAGGGAGAGTAAGGTCGACGACTCAGCGCACTTTCTCCTCACTATAAACAATCTGACGCGCTTGAAGCTATCACGGTGCGCTAAAAGCCGTGGCTTGGAAGGTTGCCAACTGACGGGGTAACTTGGACCTCCTCCTTGACTGGAGGCGATCTGAGAGTCAAGCTGCAATGGCTCCTTTTTAATGTGGCCTTTATGGCACTCCCACCACAGTGTGGGATCCGAGCCAGGCGTTGGCGGTACGCCTAGATGCGGCTTCGGTCGTGCCAGCCTCCAAATCTCTGTTGTTGGTTGAAATCCTGGTTATTGTTGTGTGGACCAGGGGGTGTGGTGGAACACCAAGGTGAGGACCCGTCCGAGCCATCCACCTGCGGCCCCCTCGTCTTCGGTCTACTTAACTCGGTCTTGACACCGGGCTTGGGCGAGGGAGGAGGAGAGCGTGTAGGTAGATGCTACGCAAGTCTACTGGCACTATAAACCCCTGCGTAAGTCACCGTCCCTGCTCCCACTGCTGCTGCAACTGTAGGGCACACGGTGGACATCATCTAAACCGATGGTCGAACTGTCAGGTGTGTGTGTGTATGCCCTCTAACCGGGCCACGTGTTAGATGCGCTGGACCAACACGGGGGCCACATCGGACTCTGGCAGTCGTTATCTGTGCGTAATAACAAATTCCAACATTCCCGGGGTGCGCTGGCGGACCCTGTTGTCGGCATTCGTCGTACAACTGGACCACTGTCACCGCCCCATTGTTTTGTGGTCAAAATCCTGGTCATTTGTGTGTGGACCAGGGGGTGCGGAGTGGAGCACCAAGGCGAGGATCCGTCCGAGCCATCCACCTGCGGCCTCCCCCGTCTGCGGTCTTCTTGACTTGGTCTTGACACCGGGCTCAGGCGGGGAAGGAGGAGAGAGTGTAGGTAGATGCTACGCAATTCTACTGGCACTATAAACCCCTGCGTAAGTCACCGTCCCTGCTCCCACAATGCAGTCTGTGGGGCACACGGTGGACATCATCGAAATTGATGGTCGAACTCCAATTGTGTGTGTGTGTGTTTGTGTCAGGCGTAGACGGTCTGTTTTACTTTGTCAGTCACTGCACCCGAGCTCATCTCCGATCGTCTTGACAATGTCTTTCAACAGGAGCCTGGTGGATGGGAAGCCGTGGGCGCGATAGATACTGTGCAAGTCTGCCTTACTATAAACTAATTCTCAAGAAGGTAACCAACCCTGTGTGGGACTTAAGGTGTACGTTGTCTTGCGCGATGACCGAACCGTAAGGAACAAACAACCCAGTCTATCGGCTTTGAATAGTTTTCCATTTTTAAAAATTTTGCATCTTAACATACTTGGTAATAATTAGAACCCACGAGGTGCGAATTCCAACTTTTAAATTCGACAGCCGAACCGTACACCCCATTACAATGGGCCGTCATCTGCACATAATAAGCAACAAGCTCCACATCTGTTCAACAGTTCCACTGATACAACAGAACCAGCAACTGAAGGAGTTTCTTTTCAAGGTGAGAATTTTCCCAGGTCAAAGTGCGGGGGGGACGTAGCGGAGGCAGAGGAACAAGAGGGTTGAATTCTAACGGGGGAAAAGTATACTGGGTTATAAAAAAACTGGAAAATCGGTGGGAATAGGAACGCCCTCCCCCGTGAGTAATAAAGGTGGACCTGCGCTTACGTCCAGAAATTTTAAAATCTTCCCGTGTCCTAATCCAAACAATAACCCTAATATAAAACAAAACCGTTACCCTAATCCTAACCCTAACCACACGCAAACCTTGACTCTGCAGTTTACACTAGCATTTACCTTCAGCCTAAATTTAAGTCTGACTTATTTTACCGTCAACTTTAAATCTATCCTCAAACCAAGTCCTTAAGCTAACCGTAACCGTAAATATAACC